GTGTTCCTGGAGAGAAGAGGAAAATATCAATATGTCATCCAGGTAGACATATATGAACTGATCAACCATGTCTCTCAGCACGTCATTCACGAGTGCTTGGAAAACCGCGGGGGAGTTGGATAACCCGAAGGGCATAACAAGATATTCAAAGTGCCCTCTGGGGGTATTAAACGCGGTTTTCCACTCATCCCCCTCCCTTATGTGGACCAAATGATAAGCATTACGCAAATCTAGCTTGGAAAAGCTAGACCGCTCGAAAGCTGACGACATCAACGGCAAAGGGTAAGTATTCTTTACCGTGATGTCGTTCAGCCCCCGGTAATCGATGCATGGTCGCAGAGAACCGTCCTTCTTTGTGACAATTCACAATGACACGGAGAGAGCTAGAATGAGTCAGTGAGCCCATGAACCGTAACACAAACTGTATCTATTTTCAAAAGGCGGGCATTATGCAAAGCATAGGTTATTTTCTTTTTTGCTTCCATTTTGCTAATTTCCATTCGGCACCATCTATTTATTTAGGGGTTTCTATAGATCATAAATGGTCTGGGTCGACTATGGTGATTTAATTTAAATCTGTGATTTAATCAGTGTAAATATACAAACGGAGCTTGCAAATACATTATACTCAAGCACAATCTACTACTGTAATGGGGCCGACGAGACGTGAGGCGTGAGGATCCATGTGTAAGCTTTATTTATAAACACGGTCAGAACACGGGCAGGGTCAAACAATGGCAAACTTGTATGGTACGGGCAAGACACAAGAATAATCCAAGAGCAGACGCCGAGGGTCTCCGATCAGCAAACGACATCCAGAGGGCTAGACAGAGAGAGATAATCCAGGTACACAGTAATAGTCCAGGCAGGGGCAAACACAGTCCAAACGACAAGACGAGAGAGAGATCCAAGGCGGGCTATACACTTCAGGGCAGGTAGAGATCACACAAGATGAGAAAACAGGCTAAGATCAAAACACGGGAAACAGACTATGAACAAGACTAAACTAAACTCTAACTCAGGAAACACGGAATGGCTTGGTAAAGCCCCAGATAACAAACGGCCATAGAATCAACGTAGAACCGACGTTTCTCGTGGCGTCGA